TGATGGCGAGCCCAGAGTGACTGTGGAGGGTCGGGGACGCAGTGAGGACCGCCGCACGACCAGACACAGACAACTTTACCCATTCAGGAACAGATAAGACTGCGTACACACTATTAACTCTACCCGGGTAGTAGCAGACTCAGTGCACACACGTACAAGGATCAGGAACTGAACCCTGAACTCTGAACTCAATATCAGACTCCTTAAAGGACTATTTCTTTTATTTTACTATACAACTGAGAGAGCTCTATTTTAGTTTAGATTTAAGTCCATCTAAATTGCTGTTGATATTGTTGGGTGAGGCAATAAATACTGTCAACTGTTCGATCCCCATACTAACTCGTCCCGAGCTATTAAAGGCACCACACCTCGGACCTAGCTAGATGTTAGTTGCCCTACTACTACTTCCTTTGGGTTAGCATTAGGGGCACTACAAACAGAATCCACAATAAAGATGTGATACTGTGTGTGGAAAAGGTTTTATGTGTCCTAGAAATGAAATGATGAAATGAAATGACAGAAATGTAAGGGGACGTTTAAGGCTTCAAATCACAGTTGAGGAGTTTTGTGGATTTGTAGTTTTGTATTTTCATCCCAGCTGTTAAACAACAGATAACAGTCTGTGTTACTAAATTCACCACCAACCTGAATGTGTTTGTGCCAACAGGAATGCTTTTTTCTATTTCTGCATCATCGTCACCCAGATTTTTCATCTGCTGTCAGATTCAAATCAAGACGAAGAAACTTCTCACTGAATCAGTTCAGAGAAACAGAGAAGTCTGGGAAAAAAGAATCATCCAGAAAAAAGCTCCAAATAATGAGAATAAAACAAAGAGAAATAGTGTCAATAAGAAATGAAAAGCACACAGCAGCTTCAGCCGAGCTGTCAATCAGCAGCGGCAGCCTTATCTGTCGGCCGCAGGGGCTGATGGGAGGTCTGAGGACCTGTTAGAAACCACGTGGCCCTCGTCTGATCTCACAGCTCGTCCTTGTTTGGCCTCAGCTGCATCAGAGCGCCACTTCTCCCCAGGTTCACCAGAGGAAACACCACTGCACAAAATGCTTTTCCTCCCAGCTGCTGCTCTGTGCTGTCTGTGTTCAGGTGAGTGTTTCCAGCCAATCAGGAGCCAACAAAGTCAACCTTTAACAAACACTGTCACACTAACCTTCATCTATCTGTCTGTTTCTCTACAGCGCTGGTTGCCATGGCAGCAGAGCTGAGTCAGGATCATTTAACATTGACCAGGAGGGTTGGTCAAACCGTCTCCTTCAGCTGTGAAGAACTAACCAGTGCCCGCTCTAACATGGTACACTGGTACCAGAAGAAAGACACATTCACAAAGATTGTACAAATTGACATGAAAAACGGTAAAGTTCATTCAGGTTACAATCATCCTCAGAAAGATGATTTCTCATCTGTGAATAAAAAGAACGGCTGGGAGTTGCAGATCCAGACAGTTAAACTCAGTCATTCAGCCACCTACTACTGCTCCTGTGGTAAGAAAGATCCCCACAGTGAGAAATGATCCCTGCAGCCTGAACAAAAACCAACAGATGTCAAACAGTGTGTGTGACAGGAAGAGAGCAGTAAACCACAGCCCAGGTTCACATATTTCACCTCCATCTCAGCCAGAGTCACAAACATACTGAACTGAGGGACTGATTTTCTTTCCTGCTGTCAGGATTGATTTCATATTCTATTGATTGATATTTTGATCAGATATTTCAGCAGGTTTATTGTTGTTCCACACAGTGAGGAGAAAGGATACAAACAGAAGCACAATGATGAAATCAAATCAAGAGAAAACAATAAAAGTACAAACTAAACAGAAACAGATATTTTGTATAATAGAAGAACAAATTCCAAAGAAGATGTTTGAGATAAAGATTGAGATCCTCCTCTTTGTTCTGCTGCTGGATACCTACAGCGTCACATTTTGAAGCGGAGGGCCACTGACCGAGCTGCAGGATTTGACCACTTGGGAGTGAGACCGGGTTGCGCCTGCAGGAATCTCTCTACACCCCCTGGGACTCTGTGTTCAAAAAGAAATGATCAAATGAAATATTTGCTCAACAGAAAGCTAAAGCTTCATCCTGCACTATTTCCACAGAATCAATGCTCCACCGCTACACAGCAAGCTCGCCAAAATTACAGCCCATATTTCAGAAGAAAACACGAGTGCTTCTTACTCAAAGTGGCGCCAAAGTGTAGCTTAATATCTGAATAAACACAAAGAATGAACAGATTCACTGGATGGGTGTCACAATGTCTGCCTCAGTTGTGTTTATTGGTGTCCATTCTGCCTCTCTGTCCCTCCTTTCAGCCACATTCCCACCTCTCCAGCCCCTTCATTGCCATTTCTCTACCTGTCCACCAGATGGCCTCAGACTGTTCCACCTGTCCCAGTCAGCTGACTCCCACATCCAGCCACTCCCTCCTGCCCTGCAGTAACCCCTTTCACCTGACCTTCCCCCGCCCACCTGCTCACCTGTTCCCCATTTCAAGCCATACTTTGCCAGATTGTCTGCTTTGTCCACCCAGCTATCCAGCCTTTGTTCTGGCTTCCTGACCTGCTGCTTGATCCACAGTTTGATGATTCTCTGCCTGCCCCCCTTTTGGATCACTTTACCTGTTCTGACTGTCTACCTGGTTTTGACCCTTGTCTGCCTTTTGACTCCAGTAAAAGTCAACTTTTATCTTACCCTGTCTGCCTGTGAGTCGTGCTTTTAGGTTCAAACTTGCTGTTCCTGAGCTGTTACAGACGGCTGCTTTAGTTCTGATATTTCATGATGATGTGAGCCGCTGTTAGCACTGCTTACCTTATGAGCTAGTGCAAAGTCAGCTTTAAAAAACATGGCATCCTCAGCCCGGTCTCCTAGAAATTAGGTTTCTATACAACTCATCTGCAACAGCAAATACGTTCTGATGGAAACATAATGCCGACTGAATGACGTTTTCTATGAACATAATGAGGAAATGTTGTTCATTAACGTACCTGGGAAGTCACAAACATGTTGATAGTGAACGTATCAGTAAAATGTTCACTGACAACCAATTTCATTTGTTTTCCATCAAAATAGACAATCTTACAATACACTGTCCACTCATAGTGACTGCAGCATTATTAACACTGAACCTAAATCATGATCTTTAACCTCAACCAAAGTGCTTTTGGTTTCTAAACCTGGTGTGGCCTAGGTGGAAAAACACGCAATTAGAAGAGAGTATTTATTGTTTTTTTTTATTTGTTTACATTGGCAAAGTTTTAACGTGGGGGTACCCAGCCCTCAACTGTCAATCAGGGGCTACGCAGGCCACGTTCAGCCTGTCAGCTCGGAGGTGAAGTGCAGGCGCGTTGTTTTTCCGGCTCTCTGGGATCTCAGCCGCAAGGAGGAGGGCAGCTAGGAGTTAAACTGTGATAGGAGAAAGATAAGACCAGTGCACTTACCTACTGGGAGTCCGGAGCCGAGTGACTGAACGAAGGAGACGAGTTACGTCTGCTAACCATTTAGCTTCCATCTTGTGAGCCGCTACAAGCCCCGACATCAACGTGCTTGGCTTTGAAACACAGAGCAATGGTGAGAAACGTGTCCCTCTTAAGCCTTATTCCTACAGGACTAGTATTACCTGGGGACCTCTAGTAATTTGTAATAATTGCGGAGGTCGTCTGTGATCTTAATCCCGTGCAAATCTGCCATGTCCGTAATTTGTAAAGTAAAAATTCCACCGCAAATTACCTACCATATTTTGCCAAACACAGAGGTCATGTGATAATATTAGTCCCGTGTGAATCGGCATCTCTGTGATTTGGGGTCGTTTTTTGTTTTTTTTAAGGTTTTTTGTGTTTTCCGCGCCTTTATTCTGCCTTTTTCCCGGTCGAGAATTATGGAGGCTGCGTTGGCAATTATAAATGAAAGTTTTGACGGCATTTTGCAGCAAATTCAGGAGGCTCATCTAGGTACACAGCATGGAGACCCATTCGCAGAAAGAGCAAGCTCAAATCCATCAGAAGAGCGTAATCTCGAAAGATGATTAGATGGAACATGTTTCTACCTTTCAACAGGCTCACCAGTTATTATTATATTAAAAATATATTAATATATATAATAATATATTAAAAATATCCATATCTAAATCTTCCGTTTTGTTTTTTCTTTTGTCTTTATGGTCATATAGTTATTTATACATTCATGTGACATCACTGCAGCATACATATTCTGATAGCCCAGGTTGTCCTAAAAAAAATTGTATTACAAGGTTGAGGTTGTACATGCATTATTACACACAGAGACCAGGCAAACCAATAATAGGAAAAATAATCTAATTTTTGCATAACCTCTCATCACCCATTCTATTATCAAGCTATTAATTAGCTATTACCTTACCTTCCTGATGGCAAATGCAAGCAATATTGACAGCCGTCTGTTTTCTAGTACTAGTAGTTGTGGTCGGTGACATTGTGTGTCAGTCAGGGCTGGGTTTAGTTAACTTTCAAATCAATATGTAATCCCTTAAGATTTCTTAATAGGTTAGACATGACACTGTTCTTATGCCAACATTTTTTCAGTACTTCAGTTTGTAATAAAATGTAGGCCTACCCCTGAATTAAATTAACTGAATGTGAATTTTCCGATCCCTGTAGCCACCTTCAAAGCACCAACTTGCATGTATCCTGTGCCTTAGAAATGAATGACGATGAATCTTCAATAAATACTACAGTTAGTCATGGAGTTCCACAAGGTTCTGTACTTGGACCAATACTATTTACTTATATATGCTCCCTTTAGGCAACATTATTAGGAATCACTCCATTAACTTTCACTGTTATGCAGATGATACGCAGTTATATCTATCAATCAAGCCTGATGAAATTAATCAATTATCTAAATTACAAACATGTCTTAAGGACATAAAATCCTGGATGACCGGCAATTTTCTGATGTTAAACTAAAAAAAAAACGAAATTCTTGTTCTTGGCCCCAAAAACCTTAGAGACTCACTGTCTAAAGACATAGTTACTCTAGATGGCATTAACTTGGCCTCTAGCACCACTGTCAGGAATCTTGTAGTTATCTTTGATCAGGATTTGTCATTTAACTCCCACATAAAGCAGACCTCTAGGACTGCCTTCTTTCATTTACGTAATATTAGAAAAATTAGACACATACTATCACAGACAGATGCAGAAAAACTAATCCATGCATTTGTTACTTCAAGGCCGGATTACTGCAACTCTTTATTATCAGGTTGCCCCAATAAGTCCATTAAAACGCTCCAATTAATTCAGAACGCTGCAGCACGAGTACTGACAGGAACTAGAAAAAGAGATCACATCTCTCCTGTACTAGCTTCTCTGCATTGGCTCCCTGTAAAATGTAGAATAGAATTTAAAATCCTCCTCCTCACCTATAAAGCTCTTCATGGTCAGGCCCCTTCATATCTTAAAGAGCTCATAGTACCCTATTACCCCACTAGCACACTACGTTCTCTGAATGCTGGGCTACTTGTGGTTCCTATAGTCTCTAAAAGTAGAACAGGAGCCAGAGCCTTCAGTTACCAAGCTCCTCTCCTGTGGAACCAGCTTCCAGTTGTGGTTCGGGAGGCAGACACCCTCACCACATTCAAGAGTAGACTTAAGACATTCCTCTTTGATAAAGCTTATAGTTAGGGCTGGATCAGGTGAGTCCTGAACCATCCCTTAGTTATGCTGCTATAGGCCTAGACTATCGGGGGATTTCCCATGGTGCACTGAGCTCCTCCCTTCCTCTCTCTTTCTGCACTCATTCATGTCCCATTAATGCATGTTACTAACTTCACTTCTTCCCCGGAGTTCTTGTGCTTTCTCGTCTCGCAGGTTCTTATTGATCCTGGTGGAGCCTCCTGCCATGGTCCTGCTAGATTGTCATTGCCAATACTGTTGTTGCTGTGCACCTGTCTGTCTGTCTGTCTCTCTCTCTCTCTCTCTCTCTCTCTCTCTCTCTCTCTCTCTCTCTCTCTCTCTCACCCCAACTGGTCGAGACAGACGACCACCCACCTAGAGCCGAAGGATCTGTCCTGTCTGTTTCTGCCTTTTAACAGGCAGTTTTTCCTTGCCCTTGTCGCCAAGTGCTTGCTCATGGTGGTACTGTTGGGTCTCTGTAATTAATGTTTTAAAGAGTTCGGTCTAGACCTGCTCTATTTGAAAAGTGTCCTGAGATAACTTCTGTTATGAATTGGCGCTATACAAATAAAATTGAATTGAATTGAATTGAAAATGTGCAGAAAATGTCAACACTGCAAACTCACAATGTGTTTTTACTGACTGCCTTCCCTCTCTTTTATAGTAAATGCATGGTATATTGAGAGAACACCACGGGAGGGTGGGTATTCCTTCTGGGAAACAGAGGTGCTCCAGAAATTCCTGGAGAAAGATTGGTACGTCAACTTTAGAATGCCCAAAGAGGCCTTCAGTATCCTTTGTGACCAGCTGCGCCCATACGTCAACCCCCAAACTACAAACATGTTGGATCCAGTACCTTTAGAGAAGAGCGTTGCGATTACCATCTACAAGCTTGCAAGTAATGAATTCCATGATGTTGCCAACCTGTTTGGTATTGGAGCCAGCACAGCCTGTAACATCTTCTGGGAGGTGTGTGAGGCACTAAGCAAACTCAGGAGGGTTCTGGGGAAGAGGCCAAAAACTGTCCCAGAAGTCCAAGCCATCATAACAGGTTTTGAGAGGAAGACGGGATTCCCCATGTGTGCTGGTGCTTTGGATGGCACGCACATCCCAGTCATTGCCCCAGTGAGCTACCCACCGACTATTATGATAGAAAAGGATGGTACAGTGTTCTTCTTCAAGGACTTGTAGACCACACTTACAGGTTCCTTGATTTTGATGTTGACTGGCCTGGGAAGTGCCACGATGCATACGTTTTCGAGTGTTCCTGCCTGTGCCCTAAGCTGGAGGATGACACCCTTTTCCCTCCAGTCAGCAGGAACATCCAAGGGGTCAACATACCTGCCCTGATTGTGGCCGATTCTGCCTACAGCTTGACCAACAACATAATGAAGCCATTCCCAGAGGGTACAGTGAGAGGACCAAGGTCAGCCTACAACGCCTGCTTGAGCCATGCACGCATCCACGTTGAGCACGCATTTGGTTGCCTTAAGGGTCGCTGGCGATGCATTATGAAAAGAAATGACTCTCAAACCAAAAATGTGAAGTATATTGTGTCTGCTTGTGTAGTGTTGCTCAACTTCTGTGAGCAGCGTGATGTACCTGCTCTCTCCCCAGCAGAGTGCATCCGGGAGGCCTTGGAAGCTCATACCCAAACAATGCAGTCAAGACCCACGTGAGATTGGAAAAAAAAACATTCATTTCAAGTGCAGAGCATCCTTCACGTTTCTGAACTTCACATTCACATTCAGTTGTAACTTTATTTGTTATAACTTTTGTTGGTTGTCAGTTTTTAAATATAAAATAAACTATTTTGTTACAAAATATATAGAAAATGTGCAAAATAAAGGCACATTTCTGAACTTTGCAAGTGACATTCCGTTTAAACTTCGTTATAAATTCACGGTTGTTTCACCTTTTCCCCTTTACATAATATTAAATATTCTGTTATAAAACATAGAAAATGTGCAAAATAATGCTTTCCTGTAGGGATGCACCAATACCAGAGTATTAGTGAATTTCACAACTTATGACTCTTGAACTTAAACAGTCAACGGAATATTTAAAGGCATAACAAGAACAAATAAGGCTTTCCTGCAAAGTGGTAAGGCAGAAATAAAAAAGCTAGTTGGGTGGGTCATTAGTAGTAGTGCACCGGACATGCTGCTGGGACAGGGGGTCCGGGGGCTGTGGATGGAAAGTCCATGCCCTCATTTGACGGGCCTTGGTGAGGTGGTGCATAAGGAGGGACATATGCATGAGGGGTCATAAAAGGTGGAAAGTTGGGCGGGGGTCTAAAGCACTGAAACATCTGGAGCATCAACTCCCTGTTCTCTTTTGCTCTTCTATCCTCGGCTTCCATCCTCTTCAACTCAAAATCTAGACGTTTCTTCTCCAGCTCCATTCTATTTCTCTCCACCTCTTTCTCCCATTCAAGCCGCTACTTCTCGCATTCATGGGTGTTGTCATTGTGTATGAGACGGTCCAGACCCTTGTCCAGTGCCTCCATTATCTGGGTTTTTCGGCCCTTTCTTCGGCGATGCGATACAAAACAATTTTTTTTTTTTAGCATATTCAATTGGTAAAAACTATAACTAATGGGACATTTTAATGCAACAGTGATTCAATTCAATTCTGCAACAATTTGATGCATCAAAGCTTACATTTTCTATGGTAAGAGGAATGAAGTTTTAGTGTGCCAATAACAGAGAACCCTTGACAATGAAGTAGCATCTACTTCAAACCATATCATCCATTTCATAAACTGATTCTTACTGAATTCATAAGAACATTACTAAACATGAGAGCCCACCATGTGGCTTCGGTTCAGCAGCAGGTGGAGGTGGTGCTTTGGAGCCCGAGCCTTGAGTGGATGCATCATCCTCTGCATCATTTTCCCTTGAGGTGTTTGACAGATCGTCAGGGCTCACAGATGAACCTGCGGAGCACAAACAAAATTTTGAGCAGGTTCACTCAGTAATAATTTACTACTTATTTCTTCATTGAGCTATAGAGAAGCTAACATCTAACATTACATCTACATATAAATTAATAACACAATATAGCCATGGTGGTGTAGTGGTGTCTGGAGAAGTGGGTATACTCTTAATTTATGGCCCTTTTTTTCTCTTTTTAAGTGGTCTGTCTAGCAAAGGATAAACGCACTGTTATAAACAGTGACATTTAAGATGTGAAAATATGTGCACTTTAAAAATAAAAGGGAGGATGGTTTTATTCTTCAAGAAGAGCAGTGACTTGGCTGCCCAGTGCAGACTGAAAAATAAGTGGGTATACTCCATGTACCTGCACTACACCACTGAATATAGTGTTACAGTATTATGTAACGTTAGTCTACAGGCCTAACGTTACTGTAAAATGTTGTTGCACTTACAACACTCAGATTCTTCTTCTTCTGAACTCCCCCTGTTATCCATCCTGATGTCTCCGTGATTGTTCATAGGTCGGCAACCTCAAAACATAATTGAAAACAAAAGTAAAGCTATGTACTCTGCTACAGATCAACAAGTGGCATTTCCATATACGTTAGTGAAATAACGTTTTTTTTTGTACATTTGATGTTCGAGCTGTTCGGCAGCATAGAGGAGTGCACGGTGCTCCGTGGGCCCGACAGTACCAGCAAAGTAACGTCAGATCAGTAACAGACTGTTACACATAGTTTACGCAGAGCCTTGACATCATATCCGGGTGATAATGTCAGTAAATTCGAGTTAAAACACAGACTTCGATTATCCCGTGCAAATGCGCCGCACGAAACACAGACGTGGTGGGGTAATTACTAAATCACCCAGGTAATACTAGTCCCGTGCCAATAGGGCTTTAGCTGCTCTGGGGTTATTTTTCTGTTTCTCAGTGTGCTAACAAAAGCAGTGGCGGTACTAATGTCTATGGGAGTGAACTAAGGTGAATAATGATGCAGTGTTTTGAACATGTTTATTGTGGCTATTATTTTATGCCGATGTATATAAAAGGGAAGTTGTTTTATTTTGCTATTACCAATTTAAAATAAGAAGTAATGTGATAATTCATATGAGAGTGAAGTTACATTTTATTTTGTAAATGCAAGCTATTGAAGGAATTTATTTCATTTCAGTTGTGAGTTTAGTTTTTGGTGCAGTTTCTCTCACACTAGTAGGCCTATAGTGTTTGAGGAGTAAAGAAGCACACTTCTTTGATACCTCTGAAAGCAACTCAATAATTGCATGTTATGTTATCCTGGTTTTGAATGTTAATGGTTACTTACATAAGTAAGTCACAGTGAAAACACAGCAGAAAACACTGCAGCCAGTTCTATTTGTTATAGTGTACCGCGCTCCTGGACCGTACTCTGATTTTATATCTGAATTTTCAGAGTTTCTATCAAGCTTAGTCCTTAAATCAGATAAAGTAATTATTGTAGGTGATTTTAATATTCATGTGGATGTTGACAATGACAGCCTTAGTAATGCATTTATATCATTAATAGACTCAATTGGCTTCTGTCAGAGTGTAAATAAACCAACTCATTGTTTTAATCACACTCTTGACCTTGTTCTATCATATGGCATTGATATTGAACATTTAATAGTCTTCCCACATAATCCTTTCCTATCTGACCATTATTTAGTAACTTTTGAATTCATACTATTAGATTATAAGCCATTAGGCAAAACTTCCTACAGCAGATGTTTATCTGACAGTGCTGTAGCTAAATTTAAGGAGGAGATTCCTTCAGTGTTTAATTCAATGCCATGTCTGAATTTAACAGAGTCCTATAACAACTTTAGTCCCTCTGAAATTGATAATCTTGTCGATAGTGCTACAGGCTCACTACGATCAACATTAGACTCTATCGCTCCTATAAAAAGGAAATTATTAAAACATAGGAGACTAGCACCTTGGTATAACCACCAAACCCGCCAGTTAAAGCAAATAGCTAGGAAATCTGAAAGGAAATGGCGCTCTTCCAAATTATCAGAATATCGCTCAAATTGGCAAGATGATCTTAAGATTTATAGAAAGGCCCTCCGTAATGCCAGAGGAGCCTATTACTCAGCACTAATAGAAGAAAATAAGAACAACCCTAGGTTCCTCTTCAGCACTGTAGCCAGGCTGACAGAGAGTCACAGCTCTATCGAGCCACATATCCCCATAAACTTAAGTAGCAATGACTTCATGAGCTTCTTCTATAATAAAATTATTACTATTAGAGAAAAAATTAATCACCAACTGCCATCAACAGTTATCAGTGGCTCTCCAAGTTCAGGGACTTCTGTCAATGTAAACTTAGATGTATATTTAGACTGTTTTTCTGCTATCGATCTTCATCAGTTAACTTCAATCATTTCTTCATCGAAGCCATCAACCTGTCTGTTAGACCCGATCCCAACTAGGCTGCTTAAAGAAGTTGTTCCCTTAATTGGCACTTCTTTACTGGATATGATTAATCTTTCTTTATTATCAGGATATGTACCACAGTCCTTTAAAGTAGCTGTAATTAAACCCCCTTCTTAAAAAGTCTACTCTTGACCCAGGGGTTTTAGCCAACTATAGACCGATTTCTAACCTCCCGTTCCTCTCTAAGATTCTGGAGAAAGTAGTCGCCAAAGAGTTGTGTGACTTTCTACATAACAATAGTTTATTTGAGGATTTTCAGTCAGGATTTAGAGTTCATCATAGCACAGAGACAGCTCTGGTTAAAGTTAATAATGACCTTCTGACTGCTTCTGACAATGGACTTGTCTCTGTACTTGTATTATTAGATCTTAGTGCTGCATTTGACACCATTGACCATGATATTCTTTTACAGAGACTTGAGCATCAAATTGGCATTAAAGGAACTGCCCTAACCTGGTTTAAGTCATACTTATCAGATCGTACTCAGTTTGTACATGTTAACGATGAATCCTCCATAAATACTAAAGTTAGTCATGGAGTTCCACAAGGTTCTGTACTTGGACCAATACTATTTACTTTATATATGCTCCCTTTAGGCAACATTATTAGGAATCACTCCATTAACTTTCACTGTTATGCAGATGATACGCAGTTATATCTATCAATCAAACCCAATGAAATTAATCAATTATCTAAATTACAAACATGTCTTAAGGACATAAAATCCTGGATGACCTGCAATTTTCTGATGTTAAACTCAGAAAAAACCGAAATTCTTGTTCTTGGCCCCAAAAACCTTAGAGACTCATTGTCTAAAGATATAGTCACTCTAGATGGCATTAACTTGGCCTCTAGCACCACTGTCAGGAATCTTGGAGTTATCTTTGATCAGGATTTGTCATTTAACTCCCACATAAAGCAGACCTCTAGGACTGCCTTCTTTCATTTACGTAATATTACAAAAATTAGACACATACTATCACAGACAGATGCAGAAAAACTAATCCATGCATTTGTTACTTCAAGGCTGGATTACTGCAACTCTTTATTATCAGGTTGCCCCAATAAGTCCATTAAAACGCTCCAATTAATTCAGAACGCTGCAGCACGAGTACTGACAGGAACTAGAAAAAGAGATCACATCTCTCCTGTACTAGCTACTCTGCATTGGCTCCCTATAAAATGTAGAATTGAATTTAAAATACTCCTCCTCACCTATAAAGCTCTTCATGGTCAGGCCCCTTCATATCTTAAAGAGCTCATAGTACCCTATTACCCCACTAGAACACTACGTTCTCTGAATGCTGGGCTACTTGTGGTTCCTATAGTCTCTAAAAAAGTAGAACAGGAGCCAGAGCCTTCAGTTACCAAGCTCCTCTCCTGTGGAACCGGCTTCCAGTTGTGGTTCGGGAGGCAGACACCCTCACCACTTTCAAGAGTAGGCTTAAGACATTCCTCTTTGATAAAGCTTATAGTTAGGGCTGGATCAGGTGAGTCCTGAACCATCCCTTAGTTATGCTGCTATAGGCCTAGACTATCGGGGGATTTCCCATGGTGCACTGAGCTACTCTCTTCCTCTCTCTTTCTGCACTCATTCATGTCCCTTTAATGCATGTTACTAACTCCACTTCTTCCCCGGAGTTCTTGTGCTTTCTCGTCTCGCAGGTTCTCATGGATCCTGGTGGAGCCTCCTGCCATGGTCCTGCTTGACTGCCATTGCCAATACTGTTGTTGCTGTGCACCTGTCTGTCTGTCTGTCGCTCTCTCTCTCTCTCTCTCTCTCTCTCTCTCACCCCAACTGGTCGAGACAGACGACCACCCACCTAGAGCCGGAGGATCTGTCCTAGGTTTCTGCCTTTTAACAGGCAGTTTTTCCTTGCCCTTGTCGCCAAGTGCTTGCTCATGGTGGTACTGTTGGGTCTCTGTAATTAATGTTAAAGAGTTCGGTCTAGACCTGCTCTATTTGAAAAGTGTCCTGAGATAACTTCTGTTATGAATTGGCGCTATACAAATAAAATTGAATTGAATTGAATTGAATTGAAACACTGTTCATATGAACAATAAGTGACTAAACTTTTTACATGAATTTAACAACACTGCATGAGTGTTGTTAAATTCATGTAAGAAGTTTAGTCCTTTCCTGGTTTTGTTCTCTGACAATGTTCTGTTTACGGCCAGCGTATGAGATATTTTGAGTAGAGAAGTAGAAGGGAAGTCACTTTTCACCAGGACATCTGACACCACTCAGTATTACTTCCAAGTTCAGGAATCCTTTAACTTTCACCGCTGTTGTCCATCTCCATGGGGACCGCTCTTATCACTATATTGGCTCTTATTGGCTCAAAGGAATGGGCCGGTGTGTTTGTGACTTTGTCAGTAGTTATTTGCATCTAATCAAAACTGTCAAACTCCATTGTATGAACATTGAACAGCTAGCTTGGCGGCTCGTCTGTAGTGCAGGGTAGTGCTAGCGTTCCTAATGAACAACCATTCTTGTGACAGCAGGCTTGATGAAAACAATGATGGAGGTATTAATAAATCAATTTTCTTAACAGTGGCTTACTTTTATAAGATCATTTATATATTATTATATATTATTATCATCTATATATTATAATGTATGTATATTTGACTGTTTCATCTCCACTTTAAGACTCATCCCTTCACCCAATGAACCAATATCACAAATCACAAACTGGCCTCAAGGGGCTTTACAATCTGTACAGCATACGACACCCTCTATCCTCACAGCCTCCATTCAGATAAAGAGAAACTCCACAAAAACCCTTTAACAGGTGAAAAATCAAGGTGGAAAACTCCTGATTATTTCTACTGCTTTGGGAACGGCTGCACATTCAGATGCTGCGGTCGGTAGGCTAGCTCCTTCAAACTTCTCTGTTTAGGTTCAATCTGTTTTCAGCTTTATTGCTCAAACACGTATTACCTCTGACAGAAATAGACTGCAGTCATCAGCAAAGGAAGTGTGGGGTTTGGATTAAAGAGACGATCCACCCAGCCAGAACGGCAGGACCAGCCCACCTGCTACTTTCTTTTCATTGTGCAACCTTGGTTGTATACCTTGAAGAGCAACAGAGGAGGGATCCCTCTTCCAGGATGAGATACAATAAATGTTGTATGTACAGAATAGACCAAAACAACAATATGTACAATAGAATGAATAGTATAGGTAGACTGTAAACGTATATGAAGAATATGAATCAGGGAGGACATGGAGCAACTTCCAGGAGCCAGGACCAAGAATGTCTGTACAAGATTTTATTTGTCCATCCATCCATCCTTTGGTCCAGGTCCAATCCATGTGGACTAAAGTAGTGGACGGACAGACATTACCATCCATAGAGCAACACTGCTAGTGTGTCTAAAGAGACATTCAACAGCAGACAGGTTTTTGTATTAGTCTCTCTCACTGTGGGAGGATATAGCTACCTCATCTTTGGCTCTGGAACCAAACTGTATGTAACAGGTAAGAATAAACCTTCATTTTCCTTCAGTTGTTTTATTGAACAAGTTGAAAATGTGTTTTTAATGAGTTTCTGCTGCTTCAGGCTTTACATGTTCGTTTTTTCATAATTAGTAGAGAATTCTTGCAGCCATGCAGCTATTGTTACATAAAAAAGGTTCATAATTCCTGAAAAGATGTTTAAATCTCACTGCACAACTGAAGTTATTCTTTATTTCTGCATGAGATCAAACTGATTTATATAGAAAAAGTATGATATTGGCAATGTTACAGATATACAGTATTTGATCATCCCAGTCATTCAGAACCATCTCCTGTTTTAATGAAACTAGATTATATATGATATTGGATATTGTTTAATGTATGACAGTAATTGTATGTTCAAAAGGAAAAAGTTAAAATACTTTGGAAATAGAAATTTAGCTTGTGACAATCGTATTTTATATGATGGAAATATATTTAAACATAAAGAAGGACACTGAATATAATATTTCAATTTGAATAGAATTACTGCTTACTAATATGTTTCTATTTTTTTAAATGAAAAAGTATATTGGCAATGTTACAGATATAAAGCATTCGATCAACTCAGCAATTCAGAACCATCTCTTGCTTTTATAAATTAGATAGTATATATCAAATATAATTGTATATATGTCAGTAAATGTGTTTTGAAAATTAGATGAGGATAAATTTGTCATTTTTAAATTGTAAAATGAACCTCAGGACTTTTGAAGAGATATTTCTACATCAAATATCTACAAAAACTAATATTGAACTCGACTTAAAAAAAATAGAATTCATCCAAAGTAATATATATATTTATGCATATGATATAGGATTATATGTGACTGCACACACATTCAAATGCACATATATATTGATTATATTATATTTATAGATAAATAAAATCCTTTTTTTATATTATATCACATGGCACTATTCTTTAACATTCCATGTATCTGAACATTTCATTGTAATTGTGGATAAATGTGTAAAACCTTTCTAATTAATATTGTATTGATATATTGATTTGTTCTTCAGTGGTAAATATATGTTCTAATTACTGACCACCACATCTGCATGGACCACTGTATACATTCTGTAATCATTAACATGACAGTTCTATTTCATGTAAATGTAAATATAGAAAAACAATTACTATTAATTATTAATCAATTATTCTACTTTATGATCGTTAATGTAATGATTGTATGAAATTACTGTTAGTATTAATTTTAATAATCATAATGTGTGTAAAATTATTGTAAATTGACTGAATATTTAAACAAAGAATTACATAATACATAATGTTTTTTATGCCATATTCCATCTGCTGACATTAGATGGTAAATATATTTGCTATGAAGGTGAATCCAGTATATGTAGTGGACTTTGTGCTGATTTGATGAGTAGTTTAGTGATCAGAGTCCATGTAGTTTCCAGGATCAGACTGAATGCAGTGCAGTGCTGTAAGCTGCTGTTGACTGTGTGAATGTGTGTCTGTGCTGCTTGTTGCTGCTGTCAAACTTCAGATGAGCAGATAGTGAAGCCCGTGGTGAACGTGTACCCAGCAGCATCCAGAGCCCACCTGGAGGGGAAGAGCTCCCTGCTGTGTGTGGCCTCAGACATGTTTCCTCCTCTGGTCCGGTTCTCCTGGAAAAGACAAAAGGACAATGGTCCTCTGGAGAAGGTGACCTCTGCTGACAAAAAGCAGCTGAAGCTCAAAGAGTCGGGATGTACAGCCACCATCTTGCAGATCCCTCAGCGAGAGAGCAGCACATACAGATACCGCTGCTTCGTCCAGCACGAGGGGGAGACAGTGGAGGCCCAAATAAAACAAGGTAATGAAGGTTTGGTGACTGTGTTCAGCAGTGATTCAGCTCCATGTGGAGACACTGTCAAAGAGAGCAGAGGACTGACATTTCTTTTGACACCTTTTCTGTTTCAGAGGTTTCTACTCTTCCGCCACCTACAACTTCACCATCACCTCAACCGTCACTTCCACCATCGCTCCAACCATCACTTATTCCATCACCTCCACCATCACTTATTCCAGCACCTCCAGTTTCTGTCCCGTCTCAGTACCAGGTGAAGCTGCTCTGTCTGATGTACACAGTGCTGATAGTGAAGAGTCTGGTGTACTGCTGTGGACTCTCTCTGCTGATGATCCTCAGAAACAAGGGACCGTCCACCAACTGCACACATGCTGACTGACTGGTTTCATCTAATTTATCACTTTGATCAGCAGACAGAAATATCAATTTAGATTTAAAAAATGTTGTGGTTCATTGGGAAACCCTTTTTTCTATAAAGGTTCGGTAAAGTGCTCCAAAAAATATGAATACATACACATACACATATATATATTTACAGTTAGTGAGAGTAAATTCTGTGCTACTGTAGTGTTAGTTTCATGCTCTAGTTTATTTCCACTTTTAATTGTGACTAGTATAATCATAGACAACCTGAATCATTACCTGTCTGCTGGATATTTACCTTTTATATTTTCTATGTTCTTGTTTTGTATTTGTGAATTTCAGTTTGGCTGAATAGCAAATAATGCAGAAACACAATCAGTGTCATTAGATTTAGTGCTGAGCCCTTTTTATAATTGTGTCAGCGTGGATATAAAACTCTACGCTGATGACACTGTTATTTCCACACATGAACAAACAGCAGAGCGAGCTGGTTTGAAGCTACAACTGTTATAAAATTATGATACAGCGGCTTGATCAGTTGGCCTGAAGTTTGAATGTTGGCTAAATGATGATTGTGTATATTTTCCAGAAACCAATAAAATGCGATTTAATTCTAACAGTTTGATAACGATTAAATGGATTAGTATAGTTACTGATTATACTTTAACTATGATGTATATGTTTATGTAACACATTTAAAGACAGAATCACAAAAATGCTTCACAAAGAAAGACAAAAGTTATACATTGGAGTAAACATATTTTAAAACCTTCTATTTGACATAATTTACAATCAAATTCTAATTTGAAACATGTTTAAAAAGAACCAATAAATTAGAAATGATCTATGTATTGATGATGTTATAAATGTATGCAGGCTATGATCCTTTCCCACATGTCCTAATATGTTGTATTATGTTACAAGTTGGAGTCAGGCTGGAGAAACTGTCATTAAACTGTCACCTTTACAGAATCAATAAAACTGTTTGAATTAAAGACAACTTTCACAGTGAGTACTGAGAGCTGAAATCAAACTGAAGTTCCTGGAATGATTCTTTAACCAGAGTCGATGGTTGTAACTGTCATTGTGTTATTAATGTGAAAAAGTGCAGCTAACGGTGAGGAGGCTGCAGAGAGGAAACCCACACAGCCCGTCTGCTGCAGGAAAGGAAGTGTTGATTTGCTGTCAACAGTTTTTTATGAGTCCTAATAACCACTGAGAACAGATTCAGCTGCTGTACACACTCATGAACTCCTCTCCCTCTCTGTAGCTGTTTGTCTTTCCTCAGGTTGTCTGTTGTTCTGTTAATTTAGCATTTTATTTACTTAAAATATAAATATTGTAACACTT